CATCCTCTTGCAAATGTCTAGTGAGAACATCCATGACTAAAGCAAAAAGATATGGGATAAAGGCTGATCCTTGATGTAATCCAATTAAAATAGGAAAATAGTTGGTCAAACCTCCTTGTGTTTGAACACAAATAACAACTCCTGCATACTTATCATTAATGAGTTGAATATAAGCATTATTAATCAATTTCTTATGCAGAACTCTCCATAGCACTTCTCTTGGAACCTAATCATATGTTTTCTCCAATCAATAAAAATCATATGTAGATCCTCCTTATTCTTTCTATACTTCTCCATCAAATCTCTCAATAAATGCATAGCTTCATAGTAGCCCTTCATGGCATAAATCCAAATTGATATTGATAAACATTAATGTCACGCCGCAACCTATACTCCATAAGCTCTTCCATAATATTAAAGTATGACACATTAACTTAATTCCTCTATTATTCACACAATTTTGTGCATCACCTTTTTTCATAAAAATAGGAATCAACACAGTCATTCTCCACTCCTCTGGCAACTTTATAGTCTTCAAAATAATATTAAAAAGTTTAGTAAGCCACGAAATTTCTTCATCTCCTAAACATTTTCACGCCTATATTGGAATATCATCAGGTCCAAAATCTTTTCCACACTTCATTTTCTTTAAAGCCTCTTTAACTTAGGTTTTACTGATATGCCGACAAAAAAAATCTTTATTTTCATTTAGGGTGTTAGGGTCAGTACTAAAGCCAATCGCATTCTCATAATCTTCATTGTAAAGTTTAGCAAAATATACCATCCTCGTTAAATATCCTCTTCTAATAAAAGCACTTTTTGATATTCTTCCTTAATACATTTTACTTGAACTAAGCCCTTATCAGTGGCGGAGCCAGAAATTTTATTAAGTATGGGCCTAAATTAAACTCTACATAAAAATCATCTATTACAAACGCAATTTTCCGGCGGTTTTCAGGCAGTCAATTTTCCAGCGATTTTTTCGATGGTCAATTTTTTGGCGGTTTATCATGTCATTTGGAATGTTAGAATACATTAAAATAGTTTTGTTTTCTATCTTATTACTTGAGGCAAGATGAGCTGTAAGATCAAAATTAATAATGCAAATAACATGGCGTTAGAGTAAAATTATTTATAAGAAAGTTATTGTGAAAATTAGTAAGAAAACTATTCCGAACAAAGCCTAAAGCATATATGCTTGCATGTTAAATCATAGAATTATTATGTCTTATTTTTTATGAAAATAACGCTGATTTTCTTATGTAAATTGATCGTACACACTTAAATTTGCTTTAAAATGAGTTCAACATATAAAAAAATTCAATTAAAATGTATATTACACATATCTCAAAATAAATACAATACTTTTAAGATCCATTTTGACAAAAAAATTGATAATTAATAAATTATGTAACTATTTTTTTATGAATATATTACATACAATAAAAATCGTAACGGAATGATTATAATTTGTACCTCAAACTCTTAATTTTCTTATAAAAAAATTATTTTAATATCTTATATCACTTAAAGTGAAGAAATTAAAATTTTTTTTAGCGGGGGCACGTGGCCACCCTTGCTCCCCCCCCACCCCTTAAACCTTACTAATTCTATCTTTTTGTTTAGCTAATTTATACATATATCTTTCGTCCTTTTTAGTATCTAATCTATTTTATCAATCATTAGAAGCTAAATTTTTGCATTTCAAATTAATTTTTTATACTCCTTACGGGCCTCTTTATATCTTTCTCAATTATCAGAATTTTTACAACTAAACCCTATTTTATAATAATTATTCTTATTATTTATTTTTTCTTACACATTTTTATCCCACCATCAACTATTCTTAATATAAGACTTGTAATTCACACCTTTTTTTAAAGAAGAAAGCAATAACCCATGAAGTTGGGATAGAATTCGTTTGGGACGGTTTTTTTATTGCTTTCTAAAACGGAGTTTTAGTACAAAATTTTTTAATTTTGTACTAAAACTCCGTTTTAGAAAGCAATAAAAAAGCGGTCCCAAACGAAGCCTCATGGGATAGAACTCCCATAATTTTTTATCCATTTTTTCAAAAATTTTTTTACTAAAAAATAGATTTATAAAGTAACAAGAAAGCTGTTCCAAATGATGCCTGACTCACAAATTATTATTTTACAACATAAAAACTCATTTTTAATTATTAGTTTTTAAAAGAAAACCTCCTTAATAACACTAATCATAAAACTAAGCAGTCGACGCCTTCGTTTACACGCAGACTTTGCTCACACAATCGAACGCTGCCGTGGCGCCTTCAGCCTTTGTTCTTTGCCACTTGCCATATCACAAATATTTCCTGTTTGATGTTTTAAAAGAACAGCGGATCTCTACTTTCCGATTTGACCGTCAACATTCAACAGCCATTGTTGACGGGTACTAGCAGTTTAGAGAAAATTCAGGCTAAACAAAATAATAATAATAATCCTTTCTATTTATATAATAAGAGATATAGATTTCCGTTTATATAAAAGCTGCTCGAAGTTTCTAAGCCTCGGCAATTTGCAAGGTCCCTCACGAGCAACTCTTAGAAACAATAATAATCTAGAGTGAGAGAGAAGGGTGATCTAGAGAGAGAGTGTTTGTGAACAGAGAGAGAGAGAGAGAGAGAGAGAGAGAGAGAGAGAGATGGGAAGGGCACCTTGCTGCTCGAAGGTGGGGCTCCACAGAGGGCCATGGACATCAAGAGAGGATGCTTTGCTCACCAGTTATATCAAGAACCATGGGACAGGCAACTGGAAAACTCTCCCTAAGAGAGCAGGTATATATTTTTTTTTCTTCTAATTCCTTGTATAACTCTATCGCAGATAAAATGACTCAATGAGAGTGTAAGTGAGTCAAGCAGATTCATGAATCTAAACGGGCTCAGCTCAAAAAATAGCATTTGAGCTGAGCTTGATGAGGTAACGAATCAAGTTTGAGCTAACTATTAACTTGAGAGCAAGCTCATTTTAAAAATATTAATATAAATTATGCTTTAAATCTATGAAGATTTGAAATTTTACATATAAAATTGTTAAATAAAGCTTAAAAATTATATCTTACTTTCTTATTTTAAGTTATCCTTTATTAGTTTTCTTATAATTTCTCATTCTTTTATCATTTTATTATAATAATTACTTAAATTATAATATAAGCTATGCTTAATAGTAAACATAAATATTCTATTGAGAAGAATCATACTACTTGGTTATCAAAAAAAAAAAAAACTACTTGGTTATTAAAATTTATGTTATATATATATTATCATATCCTTCATAATGACATGTAGTTTGGCTGATGCCCTAACCCTAATGATTAATGTTTATGAAATTTTGAATTAAGGCTTCATTTGTGATGATTTTCTTATTGTTTCTTAAAATGATTGTACTAAAAAGTTGTTTTACTGTTTAAAAAACAGTAACAAATCGTCTCAGATGAAGCCTAAATTTAGAAGAAATTAATTATTACATGTCGAGATCGGACAAAGAATCGTCCCATTTTGTCTCTTTGAATAGTAAAATGACAGTCATTGTTCATCACTATACGTTTTCTGTTCACAGAGAAAAAACTTGACGGTTGTTTATGCCCTATCTTTGCACGTAATAATCTCTTTAAATTTAGAGATCTATGATAAAGTGATCAATTAAATAAGGATGCAATTTCTCATACACTTTATTCTTGTCTAATCACGAGGCCAAATTTCTAATTATTATGTATTTATGATTCAGGGCTACTTAGGTGTGGGAAGAGCTGCAGACTAAGATGGATGAACTATATTAGACCTGACATCAAGCGTGGAAACATCAGCCCCGAAGAAGAAGACCTCATCATCCGCCTCCATTCTTTGTTAGGTAACCGATGGTCTCTCATCGCCGGCCGCCTTCCCGGCCGCACCGACAATGAGATCAAGAACTACTGGAATGGCCATCTCAGCAAGAAGCTCAAAAATCAAGGCTTGCTCGTCAAAGAAGCAGTGACGAGGCGACTTACACCTCCAGATCGCAATTCCAAGAAGAAGAAGAAGAACATTAATAACAATGAAGCGAAATGCATAAATACTGAGAATGTTAAAATGAACAAAATCTACGCACCAAAGCCAACGAGGATTTACCCAACGTATTGGAACTATGTAACTGAAAGCAACGAAGAAACTGAAGGCACTAATGGAAGATTAGATAGTGGGGATGAAAGCAGCAGTGGAAATTTTCAGGAGATTCTATCTTGTTCTGACAATGGAGAAGAAGCTAATCTTCTTGATGTGAATCATTACTTGGGTTCGGATTTGGAGTTAGTAAATTGTGATTTCTTCTTGGAAGATCATGAAGTGCTTGATAGAGTATACCAGGAGTACTTGCAGCTTTTAAATGTAGAAACTGATAAGGAGAATTGAATTATGGGAAAAAAAATTTCTGGAAGGATATTCTGATCAAAATTATGATCGTGATGGTCCTCGAAGTCTTTGGATGTGCTTCAAGATGGGTGCAATACATATAAGAAAGCAATCTTGCGCTAATATGAAAGTAGATCTAATGACTTCGAGCTCCATCTTGATCAGTTCTTGATGAGAATTATCGAGACGTTTGAAGATTCAGTAATTGTGTAATGAGTGATTGAGCATATCTTACCTGTAAATTTAGACTTTATTCAGGATGATTTTCTTAAACTTCTTAAACTGCTTTGAGAAACAGTTAGAAAGTCATTCCAAACAAAATCTTAATGTATATTACTTTCTCTAATCTGTCTAACTTGAAGCTAAACTTAGCTAAAGTTGGCTTTTTTAATGATAAAAAGAGTATATTATTATGAAAGAAATATATGTTGGCTTTTGGATCTTCTTCTCTGTTTGCTTTTAAAATCTGATGTTTCTTATGATCTTCAAGTTTAATACACAATCATTTAAATTATATGCATGATATGAAATTTTATATACCACATGATTTACTTGATTAAGAAGCAATTAATCTATGGAACTTTGCATAATAAGACTCCAAGTTATCTATCATTAATAGATTAGGTGGTCAACCAGTTAACTTGAAATAAGAAATAATAACATGATAATAATGTTAATTATCATCCTATCCATTTCCTTTAACAATTTTAACATTTTAAAGCTTAATTACCCTCCTAAATTGAGAGAGTATTCTCATTATGCTGAAGATAAAATCATTTATAGGAAAATACATATCCAAATATTTAAAATTAAATAAACCTTAATCTATACCCCTATCTAATTTGGAGAAATATTTGAAAAAGTAATATAATCTTCTGAAATTTTACGTCCCTCTCATCCCTTCCCAAAGCTCTAAAAACATGGAAACATGATCCCAAAGTTTATAAGCTTTTCAAAGCCCACCGTCTATTCCTCGAAAAATTATTCAGTGCTGACACTGGACGCTGTCCAGAGGCCAACCAGAATGCGCAACGTTACTTTTTTGTTGTGTACAGGGTGACATGATACGTTCTGATTAGCCTCTAGACCGTCCGGTGTCGATCTGCACAGAATATATAATCTCACTCCTCAGGTTAATGATCTAAAAGCACAACGATATAGCTTGTGACCAGCCCACCACTTGCAACTGTAAATGACTCTAAAAATGGAGAAGTTACTATCTAAGATGCATCATCATCAATTGTACAAAATAAAATGCAAGATCAAACTCAAAACCAAATTATAAGTGGGTAAATAAAACATAAAACGTCAATAATAACTGTCTGTTTAGCTATAATTTAGATCTAGTAAGCTTCATTAAAGATCCTAATATTTCTCTCCTAAATGTGAAGCATGGCCACCTCAAGGTAAGGAGAGAGAAAAATTATTCCAATAATGATTATACAATAAATGTATCCAAGAAGAAGAAAAAAACTGTATAAATGAGAAAAAACAGCTTACCATAACCTCTAAGCTTCATAAATGTCCCCTAAATTGCTCCCTTGGGCATAACATACAGCATGTAAGTTCCTCAGTAATGTCAAAATTAAATAATCTTGGACTCATTAGATTTGTCGTGTCGAGTCGCTCGATTCGACTATAAATATGTCATATTTGTATATCATTCATTTAATATTTAAAATCTCCAAATATATTTAGGTCTCTTGATTTGGATAAATTTAGATTCGGATTTGTCCATGTTTAATGCCCTTGGATTTGTCTCTTGAGTCGTATAATTTAATTATAAATTTGCTAAAATTAAAATTCCCATCCGAATCTAATTTTGAAAGTTGATAATTTGCATATATTCGTGCTTCCAGATTTGTGCCTATCAAGCAAGCGACGTATCACAAATAAACGTAAATGTTTTGGGTGCTAGCACTTATAAGTGTGAATATAGCAAAATTATGCCTATGTACTGCCCAGTTTCAACCGAGCTCACCACGACATGGCTACGGGCGGGGCAACAGCTACGGCGGTGCAGCAGTGGAGAGCTCTCCTCGCTGGAGCCCTGGAATCTAATGCGCACCTCAATCATTCTTCCTACTTCCAACTCGTATTCTTCTGCTAAACCCATGCCGCCCTTTATTTCTTCTTCTTGTTCGTTTTATTTTTTCCCGAAACTTTTTTTTTTTTTTTAATATCCAAAGCTTCGACTTTTGGTGTTTGAGTCTTATTTTGATTTTTCTTTTAGGCCACTATATCCGTTAATGGAAGGCCCGCAAATCGGACAGTGGTATTCAGGTTCTTAAGGCGACAGCCCCTTTTTTCTCATTCTTTTAGGGTTTGAATAAGTTTCTTTCTCCCACATCCTTTTTTGTTGCTGCAGAGGGTTTCAAGAAGGCAGCGATAATATCCTGATTAATACGGATAGGCGAACTAAGAAGGTTCAGCTATTTTGTTATGGTTTTAATTTTGAAAATTGCTTTGCTTGCTAATTCATAGCCTGCTCTGTGTTATTCATCTAATTACTCTGAAGTTTTTTTTTAGGCTATGAATTTGTACATTGTAGAACTATTTAATTTTTTCTCATTCTAACAAAGGAAGTTTTCTTCTGGAATCTATGCCACTTCCAACCAATTGTTGCAGGTTGAAGAGATTACTCATAATCCATATGGCGAGGTAATGTGTTTATGATTTTGATTATGGTTAATTCTTGAAAAGTTTACTAGTGTACTATTCTAAACATATGCGCTAACTGCTATATCACTCTAATCTTGAATATACTCCACCCTAATTTATTGATTTTTATAAGAATGTATGATTAGCTTGTATTAACCTAAAGGAATATTCAACTTTTTGTTTAGCTTAGCTGTGAAAGCAATCATCTTCATTGCTCCAAGGCTTTCTAAAAAAAAAAAAAAATTCATATGAGACATCATCTACGATGGAAACAATGTTGACGACACTTGCAATTGGCTAACAACACATAAAATCAATATATTTGTATTTTTATAGGTTATTTGATACTTATGATCCTCTATTCAACCGACTAGCCTAAAATTTAGGGTTAATTATTTCATCCATCATTAAAACTTTATCATGGGAGTTGACTAAGTGTTCGTTTGGACAATTTTCTTACTTCTTTCTAAAGCAGTTTTTTAGTACAAAATTTTCAAGTTCAAAAAAATTTTGTGCTATAAAATTACTTTTAAAAGTAGTAAGAAATCTGTCACAAATCTTATTGCTTCTTAAAGAAGTTTTTTAGCAAAAAATTAAAATTTTTGTACTAGAAAGTTGTTTTAAGAAGCAGTAAGAAAGGCGTCCCAAACGAAGTAACTGTTATCAATGAAAACTATTCAAATATAGAATGATACCCATGCATGATGGGTTTAAATACCTGATCTATTATATAAAAAATTGATGATATAAACAATAAAATAACTTCAATTAAATCTTGTTGGTTTAAATGGATAAATGTCTGAGGAATAATGTGTGAAAGATAATTTTATGGAGACTTAATGATAAATTTTATAAAATTGTAACTAGGTGAGCTATGTAGTATGATGTATTTGAGTGTTGCAATAAAGAAGTCAAAAATGTCCAAGCTATGACAGAAATGAAAATATAAAGATGGATTTATAGAAAAAAACATGAATTATAGATTAACAAATGATTATTTAGAAGGATTATAGGAAAAATATCAATTAAATATAAGATTAGGTGGTTTATATATGTATAATTATTAGGACTATACGTTATCTAGAATATTCTATAGGTACAATTGTAATTAAGCTCATCTGTAATAATATGTCTATATATACAGCTCCTCTAATGTATGTAAGAAAACTGAAAGAAATCAATAAGACTCTCTGTTTCTCTGTTCTTCTCCAATACTTCTTCAATAATAAAGTGTAGAAAACATGCCCGTAAGAAGGACATATAAAATTAATTGGGGGAGTAGAAGGAAACCATTAGATCAAATGTAACATGGACAGAAGTGTGCAAAAGAGATTTAATGCTTTATACAACACTCAGTAGGCATTAATGGAAAGTGAAGATTCATAGTTGGATAATACTTGTGATGATAATATGAGGAATATGGGTTCTCTTTTTTTCTCTTTGGTACTTTGCAGATATGCTGGTATTTTACTGAATCGTGGGAGCAGTTCCGGATAAATGGAAGGATTGACATAATTGATTGTTCTACAAGAGATCTTGCCAAACTACAGGTGACAATTAAACAAACTTTCCACTTGCCTCAGTATAGCTAACTGATAGTCTCTCTCGGAAAGTCTTTTATTCTTTTGACTCTTGAATGATTATAGTCAGTTCAAAAGTTTTTGGAGTCATAAACAATAAATTGTCTTTCATGGCTAATCACATACTTTGTGGTGATCATTATTTTCTTGTGGTTATAAACTCTGCCATGTAGGTTTCTTATGCCATTCAGGCATTGACTGTAATTTTAACAAAAAAGAAATTTGTCATTTTATTTTAATATATTTAAAATGCAAAAGCTATCTGGAGTTCTATGTAAATATGCTCTGATTTATGTGAAAGTATGGCTAAGTAATTTAACTGAAAGGTGAGTTTATGGGGGAAAGAGTTCAATAAATATCCAACATAAATAGGGCCGTCATGAAAAATAACTCAATTTAAAATGTAGGAATTCATATCTTGTATTGGGAACTACAAGGTATCAGTATCTATTGATGGTACAACTGCAGCCAATATAGTGACAGACAGAAAGATCAGTGCATGAATCTGAGATTAAGATTTCGTTTGGGATAACTTTTTTACTACTACTTAAATTAACATTTTAGTATAAAAATTTTGAAAGCTGCTTTAAGAAGCAAAAAGAAAGTCATCCCAAATGAAGCCTAAATTTGAGATCTTATTATGCAGTTTCTATTTATCCGAATTTTATTAAATTTGAAATAGTCCTCTACTTTCAGTCCTTTTCATCATTCTTTTGCGGCATCTGTCCAAGATTAAGCCATAGCAATGATGCGAGATGTCTGATTTTTCTCAAGATTTGCAATTTTTCGATAACAAAAAGTGATCTTCCATCAGTATACAGATTCATAACTCTTAAGTATTTAGTGCATCTTTCAGCTATTAGCATGAAATTATGTTTATCATTTGAACTGCAGATTGAATTATTTATACAGCTAAATCATTCGTACATGGTCTTTTGTTGTGCCTAGGATGCCATCCTATTCGGATTGTTGGGCCTCTGCCGGAGCATTGGGACACCATTTAGCCCTTGTGGCTGTTCTTTTTCCTTCTTTGGTATCACCACCCCCCTAGAGTGGTTCTTTCTCTATCCGATTAGTGCACAGTGCAAACCCATGAAGAGGCACTCCTTATCTCTTGAGGGGTCCTTATTTTACTTCTTTTTCTTTGTTCCCTTATCTGTAGCAATGTATGGAATGTACTTCTTGATTTAATCTTCTCCTTTTTTGTTTTTTTATTTCGGGAGGTGTGGGCTTTCTTTCCTTCACCAGCTTGTAATTTTTCTTTCTTATTAATATATGCCAAGTGCAACTTTCAAGGATGTCATCCTATTCATTCTAATCTCTTCCTGTTCTGCGCTGATATTCAAGCTATTATATATCTGCTGAATGTTCTTCACTGTCACAAAGAGTTAAAATATTTAAATCATCATTGCTTATGCAGCAAAGAGAGGAGGCTTGGTTTGCCAGTTCTCTCAATTCAAGGTTGCAGTCCTTGAGGCCTTTTCCTCGTCTTCCAGTCCTTGAGGAACCTTGCGAAGATTATCAACTTGATCCATCTACGGGACCAGTTGATTCGTTTTGTCTTCTGGTTTTTGGCCCAGAACAGGTTAGTCTCCTCCAACTTATCTTTGTCATGCCTTCTTAAATTGTTACTGTAGAATTAGTAGTGCATCTCTTAAGATCTAATAAACTCACTCAAAAGACCTTAATTCATTTTTTGTTGTCTTATCTACTTTCAGCAATTAAATTTTTTAGCGGCTTCTACTATTAATTCGTGCTTTTTCAAGTTTACGAGTATTGAATACCATCATATATTCACTGTGTAATTGATTCAGGTTGATTATGTGAACTTGAAAACAAATGTGAGGTTCCTGTTCACATCAAGTCATAGCAGTGATCAATCGACTAATGTTTGGAAGTTTGAGAAAGTTAACCCATAAGAAGGATCATATCATTTATAGCTGAATATTTGTCAAACTTCTTACAACTTGCAGAGTTTTGGTTGTGTCCAAATGCAAATAAATGGCTTCTTTTTTGTCATGTATTTGTACCTCTGTTTTATTTGTAAATGCTGCAGTTTGACTATTCATCTTCTCTTTTTGAACTGTCTTGCTTTTTGCAGTTTTATCATTGATTTTCCTTTCATGATTAAGTGTTCCGTGCCAGAAAGTTTTAAAAATGAGAAAGTTCGTGGATACACCTGCATCTCAAATATAGAATTCTAAGCACACATGTAAGTTATTCTTCTTCTTCTTTTTTCTCTTTAACGTCAAAATCCAACAACAACAACATCAAGCCTTTATCCCACTACGTGGGGTCGGCTACATGAATCCTTTTTCTCCACTGTGTCCTATTAAAAGTCAAATTCTCGTTTCAATCTAATAAAGAAAGGTCATTCCTAATATTTTCTAACCAAGTCTTTTTAGGTCTACCCCTACCTTTCTTAACATAAGTAAAATCTAATACCTCTACTCTCCTAACCGGGTCATCGCAAGGCCGCCGTTTTATGTGACCAAACCATCTAAGGCGACTCTCTCTAATCTTATCTTCTACTCATCGCAAGGCCGCCGTTTTAACGTCAAAATCCAAAAGGGAAAAAACCATTGGGCTCACCTAGTTGTAGAAGTCTTTATATGAGCTCTAAAAACAGCACAAGTTATTTAACCCCAAGCAATTGGAGTGACATCAGAACAACGTTGTCATTAAAGGTAGTCTACTCGAAGACCATGATTGTCATGACCGAAATGTCTAAGGGACTGGTTGAACTATGTGTGTAAGTGAGTCAAGTCAGCTCGGGCTCTATTTGATAAATGGCTTGTAAGCAGACTTCGATGAACTAACGAACCAAATTTGATAAGGCCTTTTGAATCCTTTGCTCTCCCTGGTACCTAATACGTTGTTGGTATCTTCTGAAGTAAACTACTCTATCGCTGTTGTGTCCCTCTCCATGTATTTTCTATCATTAAGATTTCATATGGGGTAACTTTTTTTCTGCTTTATACAATAACTTTTTAGTACAATTTTTTTTTTAAAACAGTGGCAAAAAATTTTCCTAAGAAAAGCCTAACTCATCAATCACATGCCGGCTAAGGGTTGCATGATGTGTAAATAGAGTGCAGAATATCTGAGCTTGAGCGTGCTTAGATTGAGGCTCTGAAATTTTATGTTCGTTTTAGATTCAATTTAAGCTCATTAGACCTCTGTTAGTGGTGCTTCGATCTCAGCCATTAGAATAAATCTGATTGCAATATAAGATTGATACGTCATCACAAAATTATCTTGATTGGGCACGAATCTCGAGGCAAAATCAGTTCGGAAACTTCAAAAATTAAATTCGAGAGCATATGAACTCCGATTTCAGCGAGCTTACAGTCAAACTGAGCGTATCGGAAATACGAATCCAACGACACCAAATTTGACCCAATCCGAGTCCAAATGGGTCCGAATCAAGGACCCGAAGCGCTGTTGGAAGGTTCAAACCGCAATTTGAGTTACCAAACGGTCTCCGATTTTGACAAGCTTATACTCGAATCGAACGGCTCGACGAGACAAATCCAATGAGCCCAAGATCGCCGAATTCCGACATCATTAAGCCTTCAAATGCCCAACGAACGGTGCAGGATCAAATGATTCGATATTGGCCGTCCATTCAAAACACTCCCAATTCGCCCCTGATCTCACGCCTATTTACGGGCTATGCCACTCCAGAAAAACTATAAATAGAGCCCTCATTCTACACCAGAGGGACTCAAGTGAAGAGAGAGAAGAAGAAGAAAAGGAGGAGGAGAAGGAAGAAGCTCCTCCTCGACCACCGCCAGAGCTCTTCCTGCCGCCTGAAGACGTCGGAACTCTGCCGGATTTTCGGAAAACGCCAGGAATTTGCAGAACGTTGTAGACTTCCTGGAAGAAACAAATTGTATTCTGATTGTCCCGACTTGTGGGACGAATCAGCCATTTGTAATATGTAAAAACACTAGTGGAACTTTACAACTGGGCGAGGCCCCGTGGTTTTTCCCCCTTTTCAGGGGTTTTCCACGTAAAATCCCTGGTGTTCATTTCTCTTTTCTGTTTGTGTGCTGAATACTCGTGCAACGCTAAGACGAATATTTTCTAACTCTACTGCCACGTATATTCTAGCACGCAACAAAGATAAATGTGGTACATACCAATGGGTAGGAAAGCAAGCTCAAGTTTAGTTGGTTAACTTAATGATTGGCTCGATCACTAGCTTCTTAGGCTTCGTTTAGGACTGCTTTCTTAATGCTTTTTAAAACAACTTTCTATTGCAATTTTTTTAAAAACTAAAAAGCAGCTTTAGGCTTTGTTTGGGGCGGCTTTCTTATTGCTTTGTAAAGCAGCTTTTTAGTATAAAAATTTAAAAATTTGTACTAAAAAAATTGCTTTAAGAAGCAGTAAGAAAGTTGTCCCAAATGAAGCCTTAGTAAGTCCAAAAAAGCATTTCGTGATTGATAAGTTTTTCGGACACTTATGTGTACATAAATCTGGGTGCTAAGCGGGTTGTGTGCAATTATATTTAGTAAAGATGTCAAAAATTGATGTGCAAGGTTGGCCAATATGCATTGATGTATTTGTGATCAATTCTTCCTCAAAGTTGAGCCTGTTCGGATAGGTGCACACACCCCTGATGTGCGTAAATACATTTACTTTTTAGGTGGGGTACGTTCACAAGTCATACCCATGTGTAAACTAGGAAAAATTATTAGGTGCAGAGTGTGTACCGTCCGCACAAGCACTGAATATCCAGCGATACCGAATGCCGGTACCTAGTTGGGTATAGTGCTTGTGCGGACGGCTCTCTCCGTCCGTACTCCGCACCTAATAATCTCTCGTAAACTATAATTAAATTTGGGTCAAATATCTTGATTCACATTGTCATAATAAATTTTTAATCATTGAATTTAATTCGAGATTAGTTTAATTCATTATTAATTAATAAATAGGGACTTTATTTTTTCTCATTATATTAGTAAAATCAAAATTAGAAAGATTTTAAAGAAAATTAATTATAGAAAAGTTGTTTGACCTGATAATATTATATAATTCATTTAAAAACTATACTCAAGTAGATGATAATTCTATGATTTTATTAGATATTTTGATTTTGTTTGGGATAATTTTTTTACTGTTTCTAAAAACGATTTTTTAGTATAAAAAATAAAAAATTTTAATTAAAAAAATATTAAGAAAATCATCCAAAATGATGCCAACCTGTTAAGTTCTCCATAAGATGCTCATTATATTTTACAGGCATTGGCCTTATTCTTATAAATATAAAAAATACTCTTAAATTTGATTAATAGACTAATACCATTTTAAATTGGTTAATGCTAACGTTAAAAAGCATAACAAAAAGTGCATCTCCTTGTGTATATATCTATATATACCAAAGCCCTGCATTGGTTGATCATACCCACACCCACCCACGTACTCACCCACGTATCCATTCATACCTAATGGGCTCGGGTGGGTATGGGTACGCCCATGACCTTGAGGGTGGGTATGGGTGTGTACTCAACATTAGAGGACAAACTAATTTACATTACTAATCACCATGTGCATGCAATAAATTATAGTAATCCTTACTACGCAGTGCGCAACAGTTTACCGCATCACGATCACGATAAATTTTGATATGTGGCTTAAAAGTGTGCAGTCAGAGAAAATGACAAAAGATCTCAAGGCAATTAATCCGTGGCAAACTGCATTCAAGAAGCGTGAAAAGTGGGTGGGTATGACATCCCGAAAGTCACCATAGGTGGGCATGAGTGGGCAAAGCCCGCTAGTGCAGAGCACGAGTACCCAATGGGTAGTACCCAACTAGGACCTCGTGTAGGGCTCTAATATATACATATATAAGAACAAAAAATCGAACACATTTCTGCATTCCCTCAAGACTCAAGAAGCAAGCCCCATCCTATATATAGTTGAAAAGCAACAAGAGAAACAAGAAGCTGCATCTGAAATATTATTCTCTTTTGGACATTTAAATCATTAAGTCAAATTCATACGCACATTGTATCACTATATATGCAAACTACAAATCTAAAATTTTTTAATTAGTCAAAATCACCAATCAACAGACGAAAATAAGCTCCACGTTATTCTCTTTATTACTCCCATGTTCTTACTTTCCCTTGTGTGCGTGCTGGTCATCACATTTGTTTTCGAGCTCCGGCACCACCTTCATAAGTGTAAAATCATCAAAAAGAAATAAAAATTCAAATCATTTCAAGTTTGGAAAGTTTTCTGATCATAAACTTGAAGATTTATGCTAACAAATTCCTATCAATTTTTATAATAATTAGCTTTTGATGAAATGACAAATCTCTTACTATGCTTGTATAATACATGAAAGATTATTATTATATCTTCAATTACTTGTCATTATAATCTAAGAAAATGAAAATATGAGGGTTTATTAATGCTAATGTTAATCTAAATTAAGCTTCGTTTGAGACGACTTTCTTATTGCTTCTTAAAACAGCCTTTTTAAAAAGCAATAAAAAAGTTGTCCCAAACGAAGCCTTAGCGTGGGATCATTTTGAAATTTAACACTTTGTTGAAGCATAATGGTCATTTTATGATCCTATAAATAAATGAGTATTGATTGCTATGTAGAATTTGATCTAGATTGAATCTGAGCTTGTGTGGTATGCGCGTAAATACCCTAATTTTTTTTTTTTAATTTCCTACTAACCTGGTCCAGCGACGCATCATATCGACCAAGTGATTGCTTCCGGGTGTAAGAGCCGTTCTCCCTCGCAACAAAAGCTGCATGTCCTTGATCTGAAACAATTGTCACAATTCCACACATTAGACTTATAAATATGAAAAAAATTATATTGAAATAAGATTTTTTAGATTTATATGATGTTATAAAATATTTAATAATAAAATGTTGATTTTTATTAAAATTTAAAGAAATACAAAGGTTCTTTTATTGAATTTTTTAATTTTTATTAAACTTTAATCTTTGAGTTAATTTAAAAAATATTCAATCAAATATTAAACCTACCAAATTTTATTATTTTAATGATTTTATTTGAAATAGTTTAAACTTTTATGCCATCTTTCAGCTATAGTTTTAATATAATTCTTTTTAATAATTAAAAAAATTAAATACAAGAACAACAATATCATCACCAAGCCTTTTTCTTTATTATGTACTTTTAAGAATCAAATTCTTATTTAAATCTAGTAAAAAATGTCATTTCTGATAATTTTATTTTAAATAAAAGTTTAAATAAATCCTAATGGTGTTGAATTTAGTAAATCCTAAAGGTGTTAAATTCTAAAAATTGTTTGGTAGGATATATATTAAATCCTAAGAAATGCTGAGAAATAATTTTGCAACGTAATCAGAATTTAAGGCAATTGATTCATTTAGAAATTAAATTTAATGTGATTTAAATTTAATTTGCATGTTAAAAATGAGTTACTTATTAATTTTAATTTTAATTACATTTAATAAATTACGTCCTCCCACCTGACGTAGAGATACGTCCTCCCACCGCCAAAAAAACTCATTTTTTGCTCGGTATTGCTACATATTATTTGATAATAATGAGGAATATCATCATGTGAAGACCAATACCGAGTTATACCGAGCTATACCGAGCAATACAAAAAATACCGAGTTTTTTTAGGAAAAACTAGATATTTTTTTGTATTGCTCGGTATTGCTCGGTATTGTTCTTCACATGATGATATTCCTCGTTATTGTTTGGTATTGCTCGGTATTTGCTCGGTATTTCTAGTTTTTTAGCGTGATTTTAGCTTTGGGAGGACGTATCTCTACGTCAGGTGGGAGGACGCAATAAAAATTCCACAACAGGAGCTCTCACATGCCGCATACTCCACAGGTAACTATCTTCGCCTCCCTTACCGGAAAATAATTGGATCAATGTCCTGACTAAAATGATGAATTTGAAATCTACTGAGTTTATTTTAAAATTAATGTAATATAAAATTGTTTGATTGTTTATACTTTATATAATATATTTATTGTCAAATTAATATTTAATTCTGTTCAATATTTTTACTAATAATAATTAAAAAAAAAAACAACGGCTTCGATGTCATGATCCAGCCTTCCGGTTCTCCATATCTAGTCATTTAAAAAGTAAACAAATATCGCATTCTACTCATTAGCAGTGAAGACACGTACGGTAAGCTTAACCTACACAACTTAAAAACCTCCTCCGGGAAACATCCGCTCCGTCACCTCCTTTCGAAGTATCAATCGCCACCCTCATAACGTGCGGTGACGAGATCCCACCCTGCCTGTCCCCATCAAATAATCCAAATCCAGAACCATACAGTTCACGTACCTGGATCCGCCGCCAGGGTCTGCGGTAAACGTATCGGCGAAATTTCAGACTTGAAGCCGGTGAGTCTATCGGGGACACGACGGTCGAACCTCGAGGCGGACCGGTGAAAGTTACCGCCGTCGGAATGGAGGTTGAGCATTTGGTGGACGAAAGTACTTTCGATCCTGTTGAGGAAGCGGGAGTGCCGCTCCTCCGTCCAACGCCCGCCGGAGCCGTCCATCGCCGCTCTGAGATCCATCAATCGAAAGAAGAGAAAAAGAGAGAAGAAAAGGGCAAAAAGGAGGGACAGGCTGCGGGATTTGTTCTTTTTGGTATTTAAAATTGACAAATTGGTCCAACAGGGGAAAAGGGCAGAAGAAATATCTGAACGCCGAACCACGCGGCAATGAATTGTTTAATATAAATTAGGCCCCGCTCAGCGGTACGGGACAACACGTCCTTGGCTCATCTCAAATTGAAGTAACATATTTAGTTCATACTTTTGAGTAGAGTGTCAAAATTGGATTTTGAGTCGGGTTCTAGACTTCTAGTCGAATTTGGAATTGATTCGGGTTCAAATAAGTTGATTCAAATCTGACCAATTTTTCATGCAGGTTTTCATGCAGGTCAAAAATACGAATTCAGACCCAGCTCGTCGGGTTACTGGGTTGACTCGACCCAACAAGGTTTTGTAAACCCGGACCGCAGGGCTCGCATCGATGGCGGAAGGCGAGCCCAGCGCGTTGTGGCATCTTTAAACTTTTTATTAAACGGAAAAGTCTCCTAATTCTATTTAACTATTCAACATCTTCCCATGCTCGTCTCCATTCATGAGCCTATTCTCGTTCTCAAGGGGGGATAGTGCCGCACAGCTGGCGGCGACATAGCTGGATGCGACGTAACGCGGTAATGCGGGCAGACTCGACTTGGTTACGCGGGTGGAGGGCAAACGCTATGCGGCATGATCACACGGTGATATGCAACGGGCAGTAGCAGGCAATGTGGGCAGAGCGGGTCAATCCAGTGCCGCATAGCTGGCTTGCTTCGACGTCAGCACAGCTGGATGCGACTCGACATGGTAATGCGAGCAGACTCGACTTCGTCACGCGGGTGGAGGGCAAACGCTATGCGGCATGATCACGGTGATATGCAACGGGCAGCAGCAGGCAACGCGGGCAGGGCGAGTCAATCCAGGTCATTTTCGAGTATCCGGGTCAACCCCCTACCCGACCCGTTTCACAAACAGGTTGACCCGAACATGAAATTTTCAGGTCGAGTTTGAGTCGGGTTTTCGGGTCGTGTCAAATACTGACACCCTTACTTTTGAATAAAGCTTGAATAATATTGAATGAGGATTCAAACAAAATTTGAAAGGGTTGACCCGAACAGTGCCGGGTCAGTTCCGGGTTCGACCCGAACCCGACCCGTTGACCCGAATTGACACCCCTACTTGCTTCGACGGCGGCACAGCTGGATGCAACGTAACGCGGTAATGCGGGCAAACTCGACTTGGTCACGCGGGTGGAGGGCAAATGCTATGCGGCATGATCACACTGTGATATGCAACGGGCAGTAGCAGGCAATGTGGGCAGAGCGGGTCAATCCAGTGCCGCACAGCTGGCTTGCTTCGACGTCAGCACAGCTGGATGCGACTTGACACGGTAATGCGGGCAGACTCGACTTGGTCACGCGGGTGGAGGGCAAACGCTATGCGGCATGATCACACGGTGATATGCAACGGGCAGCAGCAGGCAATGCGGGCAGGGCGGGTCAATCCAGGTCATTTTCGAGTATCCGGGTCAACCCCCTACCCGACCCGTTTTCACAAACAGGTTGACCCGAACCTGAAATTTTCGGGTCGAGTCCGAGTCGGATTTTCGGGTCGTGTCAAATAGTGACACCCTTACTTTTGAATAAAGCTTGAATAATATTGAATGAGGATTCAAACAAAATTTGAAAATAATATGAATACATTTTAAAGATGATTCAAATAAAGTTCAATAAGATTTGAATATAATTGCAATACAATTTGAGAATAGTTTGAACATGATTGAAATAATATTTGAGCAAGTTTTGAATATGATTCAATTATAAGTGAGTTTAATAAAGTTTGATCATAGGTAAAATAAAGTTCAAATAATATTTTAACAATGTTTTGACATTTTTCAATAATCATTTGAGCATGGTTCAAACTATATTATTTTGCCCTATTGTCTCTTATGGATTTAACTCATTTGATTCATTTTGCTATCATCAAAAGTCGTGCAATTTAAAATTAATAAATTTATTTACATTTCTTTCATAAAAATTTTATTTCTACAAACGGGCTTTCAATAATGGGCCGGGCTTTTCAGTCCGTCTCTGACTCTCTAACCTGCCCCTCCATTTCGCTAGTTCCGTTACTCGGTAGTTGTACACCGTCTTAAACCTTCGAGAACCCTAAACCTACATCTTCCCGCTGTCGTCGCCTTCACACATTGGCCGACGGGAGCAAAATCCTAGCTCCCGATCGCCAGTATTGGCGTGCACTGATGATCTCTTTTTTAGCTTCTCTTCTAACCGTATTCTGAGCTACTCGGCGCATAATTTGATCTGTATCATATGGCTTGCTGCCGGAAGGGCCTTACCGTTGGATACAACTACTTATCCCGGCGATTTCACCCATCTTTCTTCCACCTCGTACAGGAAGATAGAGAACGTTCTGGAGCCCCGCAACCGTTGCCACTTCCACTGACTGCAACGGTACCGCGAGCCGCCTCTTACCAATCGTTCGATAGGTTCAGATTTCCCGATCGGGATTGGAGGAGGTTAGGATTTTCTCTTCCGATAGCAATCGATCGATATTCCAGGAATTACTCGTCTAGTTCAGATGGGTCGAATGAGATTGGGTACATCAATGATGTCGCCGATGTTCTTACCGAAACTACAGTGGATACGAGCACAGTTGCCACTGCCGCCAGTGCTTCTTCAGTTCCGCTCCCGTTCCCTGGCGAAGTTGCAGCTGCTGCCGCGGATTCTTTCGTCCCTGTTGCGGCGTTGCAGCATTTGATTGATGCAGTGCATTCTTTCACCGGCTTGAATTGGTTAGGTTTCTGGTTCATATTTGTGTTTTTTTCTTTGTGTGTATTTATATTTTTTAAAAAAATTTCCTGATTTTATTCACTAGATTTCATTTAATATATGTCTCAGGTGGGCTTGTATTGCCTTGACAACTCTTTTGATTCGGGGAGCCACCGTTCCTCTACTGATAAACCAGTTAAAAGCTAGTGCTAAACTAAATGTGAGCCTTTTTCTTCCCTGTTAAAAATAAAATTTAATGCCATTTGTGAAGTTGGAGAAAAAGCTCGGCATAATTGGCTAGAATTGTCTACCACCTATAATTAAGGTGCGGCGTGCAAATCACTTTTTAAGAAAGCTATTTGAGAAATTGATTTATGGTTGCCATCAGTAATAGCTATTTGGCAAAAAAAAAAAAAAAAAAAGAGGGAAAAAATTAAATATATAATTTTTTTAAACCTACGCTTGTAAGCATAATCTCATCTAAAATATTCCTTCCCAATTAACCGACATTTCTTTTTCCGCATAGGTGCAAATTTGTCAAACTTCCAGCGAAAAATCCTTTATTTGCTCTTTTTTGTTTTTTTATTGCTGATTTGCAGATTATGAGGCCAGAGCTGGAGAAAATCAAGGAGGAGTTAAATAATGTATGATATTTCCCTTATGAGCTAAGAAAATTCATTATGTCCAGCTAAGAAGTTTCTTAGAAGTCTCACATTTGTTCTTGTTTGACTATTATTAGACTACCAGACAATAGTTTAATTGATTTTATTCCTTGTTTTTTCTTATGAAGTTGTTTGTTTTCCATTTAATTTTTGTTGATATGCTCAGAATATGGATCCAGAGTTTCTTCAAGAGGGCCAAAAGCGGATGAAGGCATTATTCAAAAAGTATGCTTCATTTTACCATGCAATTCAAACACACATTGACACTGCCATCTAGAGTTTTGTTGAATGGTATTATAGTTGCTGCCTTTTTTTCCCCTGAAATCTATTTTGCATTAGGAGGCCATTTACAAGATATTATGTTTAATGCAGGTTATAGTTTCCACTCTCCACATATTAATCTTGTTATCATTTTATGTTTTTTATTTTTGTATTTAAAGAAATATGCTGATTTTGCAATATTGGAGTGATCACACTGTTTTAACTCCTTTTTATTGTTTAGATGCGAATGAATGAAACAGATTTGAAGGTATGCATGAGCCAAATGAATATTAACGTTGTCTTATTGCATAGTCTCCTTCTAAGGAGGCATACTATTATGTTATGTTGACTAATTCGGTCAGTTTGCCATAGGGTGCATTTTGGACGGCTTTTTCCCTGTTGTACATTAGGAAACGTAACCGAGAGATTATTTGGGGTTACGTGATCGTGCTCCGTTCTTAAAATTTTCACATCCCATGGTTGCTTTTCCTATTTGAAGGAAGCCTCCCGCATTCACTTGCTTCATGTTGTTCGAAGCTATGATAAATATGTGAATGCCCTTACAGTTATCTGCCAAGAAACATCTCCAATGGAGTTATCAAGGACGATCGACATTTTACGGAAGGAGACGACGGGTATGATGGTACACATGTGCTTCATGAGTCCATTGGCGCGACACTTGGTTACCAAAGCAAGGGCTTAACAAGGACTTGTTCTGTGTCATCCATGATCCTACGAGCGGAATGCTCCTACAACTCCACCCTAACAGTTTGCTGGATAAGTACCGCTAGGCGCTCTATTTTGGTTTTCAACTCCTAGCACTCAGCTATGAAGGAGTGAGCATCGTTGGTGAGCTTTGTCACATGGTTTGCAAGCTGGATGGACTTCGCCAGTATCTATTTAGTCCCATCACCCATCATCTTTTCCACTTTACTCCTTCTCCTTCCTTCTGTTACCTAGCCATTCGTTTTTGTTGTCCTGAAATGATGACAAAAAATACCTAATCACTAATGAAATGTTTGATCCCAATCTCCTAATCCCTAATTGAAAGGTGAAGAAAACATCACCCATAACCAACGACATGGCCGGTTCTCCATCGCCGGCCAGCTATGGGAATTGAGAGAGAGAGAGAGAGAGATCTAGTTTCCCGACCTTTGAGTTGTGGATGAAAGAGAGGAGTTTGAAAAGAAGTTGGTTTGAGCTGGATCGACGCGGTGTTGCTCTGAACCGTAATCCCCGCAGTCTTCTTCATCTTAAATAGATAGCAAAAAATTATTGTTACTATATTTTTAAGATTGGGCATGAATTTTTAAAAAATTTCGAATTGTTAGTTTGTTATCATATAATTTTTTTTTAAAATTTGATGTTTAAATAATTTCTTTTCATCACTCTCTCTCTCTAGTATATATATAAGGATATAAAGGTAATTTATTTCCATATAGTTGCAGCACAACAACTTAACAGTTATACTTCTCAAACAGAATATATTGTTTTTTGTATAAAAATTGCAGAAAGCAATTTTTTGTACACTAAGGGTTTGTTTAGGACGGCTTTTTATTACTTCTTGAAGCAGCTTTCTAATACAAAAATTTAATTTTTATACTAGAAAGCTGCTTCAAGAACCAGTAAAAAAATGGTCTCAAATGAAGCCTAAATTTACAACTTGCTTTACTAACAGTATCAGCTGTACCAAACACACTCATAATTTTTAGATGGTTATAAAACAGTCATCAACCCTTAAGCATCTTACATTCATTAGGCTTGTAACTTTGGTCTATGTAGCATACTGTTATGACTGTTTAATGCATTGTATTAGTGATGCAGGACTAATTAGATGCGATGATTATGTGGTCATTTAGGCATTGCACAACTCTTAGATTAGAATAAATCCAGGAAACAATTACTTAGCAATTCTGATATGAAACAACATCGGAATTGCACGGAGACATAATAAGACAACTGAGTAAGCAAGTCGATATAAAGATTAACGAGTCACAATTAATGATTTAATGAAATCTCAGTTGCAAAATTGCTTAGGCATTGTTACAAACTCATTAGGCACAACAATTTAAAACAATAACAAACATGCGAGTAATGACGAATGCACTTTAACAATAATCTGCGGGTTAATATTTAGAAAAGTCACATTGAGTTTCTCTCACTCAAGCTCTCTTGCAGTTAACAGAAGAAATATATTAGCAACATTGATGTGATCACCACGAGGAAGAGGGAGCTTACAATACTGTCCACGGGAAAGCTATTCGGAGCTGGAGGAGTTGATGAACAGTGCAAGAGTGGCTACTCGGATGGACGGTCGTATTCGTCGATGGCGGTTGATAGGGAAACTAGTATCCGATCCACGTAATCTATGTTGACGTCACGAAAGACGCTCTCCAAACGTCGTGCAAGAGTGGCCACTCGGATGGCAATAATCTGATATGATTCCCATCAGGAAATCTGAAACATTTCATATTTTTCTCACAAAATCTGAGAGAATTGGTGGTGGAGAGGAGAATTGGGAGTGAGAGAGAAGGGGCGTCTTCATTCCAGCAAGATATTGCCGTGGGAGAGAGGGAATTGGAGAGGATTTAGTGGAAGGGGATTAATGAGAGGGGCTTTGGGAAAATTTAACCAGCAGCAGATTGAATTCCCAACCTTTTTCCAAAGAGGAACAAAGTAATGTAAACAAATTTTGAGAAAATCTGTAAGGAATTTGATGGGAATATGGGGAGAAATTTCAAATCAATTTCTGTAATAGAAACTGTTACGGGAATTGAATTGTTTCCAAAAGTGATAATTAGCTTAGGGAAATAAATATTAATTAAAGCCAAGGTGGAGGCTCATGACATTTAATTCCTAATGCCAATTTGAATTTTGAATTAGCAGAAACAGGATCCGGATTTAGGAAAGAATTAATGGGTAGTGGGGCCTTGAGATTTCTGAAGGAATTCAAACCCTTAAACCCGGGATATGACTTAGGGACAATATCTGGAGTAATTAAGAGGATAGGAAATCTGAGAGGGAGAAGAGAGGCGGGTGACAGGGAAAAGAGGCCAGCGGGATTGAGGGGCTGAGGTGGGATTTAATTCCTAATTCCCTTCATTGATTTAGGAATTAATTTAGGAATTAAAGTTCTGGAGGAATTCGGCTAAGAGGGGGTGAGGTTTCAAATTGTTTCCAAAGGGGTGGGGTGGGGGTTTTAGGAGTTTCCTGGGCCGGCAGCTAATGAAGCCAAGGAGGGATGTAATGCATTTAATTTGGGGATTAATGACTCATCTCATTGCAATTCAAATTTGAATTTTGAATTGGATAGTTAAAACCTTCCAAATATGGATCACCCAATTAGGAAAGATTTCAAATTTGAAGTCCAAAATTGTCATGAATTTTTCCTCTCGATTTTCCCAACCCAAATTGGAAGGAGGCTGGCGATCGGGTGGGTGATGGTCGTCGGCTTGGGGAGGTGGAGCTAGGGGAAGACTTGGGTGGATGAAGAGGGGAGAAAGGAGATGAACAAGAATATACGAGAAAGATAGAGATAACTAACGAACTCACAAAGAGATCGTAAGAACCGCGAACCTTGGACTCTTCCAAAGATTGATGGGTATTGCAAATTACCCTCCTCGGGCTTCTCCTCTCATGAACTCACTAAGAGATCAACATGAACTCACTAAGAGATCAACTAGAACTTAAAATTTCATTATCAATAATTCATCCTCCTACATAAGAAAATGGTCATATATATAGGCCTCAAAATGACAAAGAAAAATAAAAGACTAAAATGCCCCATTGGGCTACAATAGCGACCAAATACCCATAAGGGGCAAAAACGGAAAAACTGAAAAATAAAATAAACTATTACATAAAAAGACTCAAAATAAAACTCCTGATCGTGGCTGTCGATCTCCGGCGTCTCCGATGGTACACGTGTCGAAATTGCTGACAATGTCCTCATCAAATTCTCAACGAAGATTTAAAACCAATAAGGAAATTATTTGCTTAAGTGAGATTACATGCTCTGAACTTTGAAACTTTCAAAATAAATAAGAAAATCCGACAACGCAAACAGTAGGCTTCAAATTAAATCACTAATCTAACAACGAGACGTAGGATGCATAGAAGATTACACTCAATTCCTACAAATGACTAAGCTTGGCAAGAGCAATTTGAAGGAGCTTTCGTGATTACAATCTAACCAATTGAGAATTTAGATTTAGAAGAAGTTGAAGCAAGTGATAAGGAGAACCTTTGCTAAGGAAGACGTCGAGATCTTCCACTCGATGCCTTCGAAGTGTTCGTCAATGGCTTCCGTCATTCTTTGGTGCTTGGAAGTAGAATCTCCTTGGTCTTTGATCCGCCTCGCAAGTGGGTGCCAAGAGAAAGAAGTTTCTCCTTGCATGTGAAGAGGGGGCAAAATCTCAAGGCTCTAATCCCAAAATCTGAGAAAAAAGAATCTCAGATTTTGGTGGAGGAAGGTGGGGATTAGTGGGAGAGAGCTAGGGCGTTAATCTCTCTTGGAGTAATTGAGAGATGGGGTGGCTCAAGAGGGGGGCGGCGGGATGTTGGGGATGGGGTTTGAATTCCCTAAATCAGTTACTTGATTTAAGAAATAATTGCAGTCATGAGGAGATTGGAGAATTTCGGCCTGGTGGGGAGTTGGGGTTTTGAAATATTTCCTAAGTATGGTATTGGGATTAGGAAATAATTGGAGAGGGAATTAATGGGTAAGAGCATGGGGCCGGCGGCATGCATGGGTGATGGGAGGGAAAATTGGAGAGTTAAGTAAACTTCCTAATTGAAATTCCTAAGATTGGAAAGTGTTGATTTATTCCTCTCTTAATTAAAATTCAAATAGGAACCCATTAATGGACTTTCCTAAAATAGAATTAGTATATTAGGAAATATTTTGAATTTCAAATATTTGAAATTTGAATTCAAATATATTCCAAGTTATACTAAACCAAAAT